CAAATGAAAAAAAGCATAAAGGAATACAAGTTTAAGCAGTGGTGCATGCCTGTAATCCTTGCAATTTGGGAGGTCGAGGTGGGAGGAACCCTGGAGCCCAGAAATTCAAGAACAGCCTGGCCAACATAATGAAACCCCATCTCTACAAATCAATAAATAAATAAAATATCTATAGTAGTAGTCATATACTTTGGTAGTGAAAACGTAAATATTTCTGGAAGTATTTTGACTATGTATATATCAAGGGCCTTAAAAAAAGTTATATGCTTTACTAAGGAATGGCTATTAAAGAAAACAAAAAAGTTGTATACTTTGACCCAAAAGTTCCACTTTTAGGAATTAGTATTGAAGAAAAAAAAATCAGGAACTAAGACAAAAATTTATGTTTTAGGCTGTTCAATATAGTAAAATCTACAATAGCCAAATGCAGAAAAGAGAAATAGCCCAAACTAGGGAAATGTTAAAAAATAATTGTAAAGGCCAGGTGTGGTGGCTCACGCCTGTAATCCCAACACTTTGGGAGGCTGATGCAGGCAGATCACCTGAGGTCAGGAGTTTGAGACCAGCCTAGACAACATGGCAAAATTCTGTACTAAAATTCTCTACTAAAAATACAAAAAGTAGCTGGGCATGGTGGCATGCACCTGTAATCCCAGCTACCCAGGAGGCTGAGACAGGAGAATCACTGGAACCTGGGAAACAGGCTGCAGTAAACTGAGAATGCACCACTGCACTCCAGCCTGGGCAACAGAGCAAGACTCCATCTCAAAAAAAAATTGTATATTCATACAATGAAATAGGTTGTATCCATAGGTTTTGGGGAAATGATGAATAAAAGGAAAAACACATACTGTTCCTAAAAGATACAAAACAAGGTGTAATGTGTGGCTCTAACGTTGTTAAAATTATAAATAATTGCCCTTCATTACAAACACAACTCCTAAAGGCTTTTTGGAAATCTCTTTTATGACTGAAACATGCATTTTTTGTCTATCCCCCGCCTGTTGTATATGTATGCTGGTTCAGACTTTTCTATATTTTTAATATTTCTGAAATGAACAAATTTACATATGAATGTAAAAGGGACATCTCTTTTTAGAAATTCTTAGAATAGATGCCTTGAGTTGGCTAGAACAGATTTTAAAGATTTTTTGCCTTTTTGTGACCACAATACATTCTTAAGAACATGCAATTAGAATATTTCTTCACGAAACCCCAACCTCTGCAGGTCTTTATTCTTTACACTACTTCTCCCCTTTCCGTGTGTCCACATGTGTGTGTGCACACTCCCTCAGCCACATACCCCTTTCTCTGGGCAAGTACTCTCCCTGCATGCCCACTCTCGGCGATTCAGCCCGTGTCCTCCCAGGCATTGTAGCCCAGGCTCTAAACAACTTCCCCCGCTTACCTCTCAACATTCCTCTCTGAAAATCACAACCCACCGAAGAAAGGTGGTTAATAGTTCTCCATTCTTTCTATTATGGTTGAATCTCCACTTGGAAGAAAACAAAAGGAAAGCAGAGGCTGTCTGGTCATTGTGAGGAATAATCATCTCTTTTTGGAAGAATTAGTTTTTTGATTGGCTTAGAGGTGATGTTTCTCATCAGTTGCTGGGCAGAAACTACTGAGGAAGGTTGAAATGAAAACTGAAAGTATATTGGATTGTACACATTGAAGAAAAATTCCAGCCCTATCTCCCTTAGTGTTTACGTTTCTCTCTTTCATTCTTGCGTGTACATGTATATAAGTATTTCTATATATTTACTTATGTCTTTTTTCATAATAGAAATATTAGCAGTACAAAATGGGAAAAGATTTTAATGTGGCAAAGAGAGAAAGATGTGCACTAATTAAAATGCTATTGGGGCAGTTTGCTAACATTTGCTTGCATGAATATGGGTACATGCAGGAAGAGGAGATTTTACTAGAGTCAAATAAACGTATAAATGGAAAGAAAACGAGACACAATGCACTTTTTTTTTTTTTGAAAGGGAGTGTCACTCTGTCACCCACGTTGGAGTGCAGTGGCAGGATCCCGGCTCACTGCAACCTCTGCCTCCTGGGTTCAAGCAATTCTACTGCCTCAGCTCCCTAATAACTGGGATTACAGGTGCTCACCACCATGCCCAGTTACTTTTTGTATTTTTAGTAGAGATGGGGTTTTGCCATGTTGGCCAGGCTGGTCTTGAACTCCTGAGCTCAAGTGATCCTCCTGCCTCAGATCCCAAAGTGCTAGGATTACAGGCTTGAGCCACCGCACCCGGCCAACAGTGCACATTTTTAAGTACTTCCAGCATCCAGGCATAGGATCTGTTAATAAATAATATAATTTTTCTGGTTTCCAGAGGCAGTGCTGCTTGACATGTTTTACCTTTTTCAGCAAATTTTTAGTGCAGGTGTTTCTGAGCATCTCCATTCACCTTCAGCTCCTGGTTTGTGCTACATTGTATTTTCCTGTGTATTTGTTTCTCATGCTGCCAGTGGAGTACATATTCTTTGAGGCCGGACTCTAACAAACTGTGAATGCTGTCTCTGTAAGATGTCTGTGAAGCAAATTGGTTCTTCTTGTGGTCTAGGACCTCAAAACACACTTTCCGGGATTGCAAGTCAATGATCAAAGTTCCTAAGGCTAAGATGTGACTGCGGCTAGTGGAATTTAATTACATTGCAACAGTTTGAATTTAGACTGTGTGGCATCTGGTTGAGAAGGCTGGTCGCTTCTGGATCATGCATTTCCTGTTTCTTCTTGGTGATAAGACCTAATTTTCTTAGGTACAGCAACGTGCTGTTTCATCTCATAGATAGCAGAGGCCAAGGGACTAAGTTGGAACCAGTGGTTTGTAGGTGACAGTTGTGGTCTTGTGCTTCTCCCAGAGAACCTTCAAAGGATGGACCAAAATAGCTGGGATTGTGAGGGTACACTCTCCATACTTCCTCTTCCTCTTGCCTACAAGGTAGACTTTTGACCTGGAGGTGCAGCAGCCCTCCTGGGACCATGAGGCAACCTTGAAGTTGGAAGCCACATGTAGAGACAGCAGAGAATGAAGTCAGAAGCAGTCTGGGGCATGAATGACATCTCTGAGGTGCCAGGTCAGCCCTGGACTGCCACCACCTGAATTCATTTTACGTGAAAACAAAAAACAAAAAAAACCAAGGAAACCCTTGTTTTGTTTAGGCCAGTGGTATTTCTGGTCTCTGTTATCAGGAGCAGAAGTACAAATTTTTTTCCTCTCCCTTTTTCCTCCTCAACAGTTTATCATAAAACTTCTAAAACATATAGCAAAGGTGAAAGAATTTTCAGTGAATACCAATTACCTACCATATAAATTATATTGATAGAGCTAATATTTTACTAAACTTTCTTACTTTATTATAATATTCCATATCACTATTAATTCCCTATCCATCCATTATCCTTATTTATTTGTTCGTTTGCTTCTTTTTTTTTTTTTTTTTTGATAGAGTCTTGCTGTGTCTCCCAGGCTAGCATGCAGTGGCATGCTGTTGGCTCACTGTAATGTCTGCCTCACAGTTTCAAGCGATTCTCCTACCTCAGCCTCCCGAGTAGCTGGGATCACAGGCACCTGCCACTATACTCAGCTAATTTTTGTATTTTTAGTAGCTGGGGTTTTGCCATGTTGGCCAGGCTGGTCTTGAACTCCTGACCTCGGGTGATCTGCCTGCCTCTGCCTCCCAAAGTGCTGGGTTTTCAGGGGTGAGCTACTGCACCTCATTTACTTATTTTTAAATTCATAGTCTATCAGAAGCTGTGTTGCTTGAAATTATGTCAGTGAGAACGATCACCCACCCTTGCCTGAAGGATCCAAATCACTTTGACACAAAGAAGCAGCTGAGGTGCTAAACTTCAGATTAGGAGTTTCTGGGCCCAATAATTCATATCTCTCAAGTTTGTAATTTCCAAAGTATCAGGCTCCTTGCTCCATTTCTCATACAGTTCTTCACACAGAACTCTGGGAAAGAAGTCTTGTGAAAGAAATGGATGTGAAATGGGGCAGAAATGAATTCAGTGACTCAACAAAGTTTTACTGAGAATCTATCATCTAGTAGGTCTCAGGCACTGAAGTTCAAAATTAGTGAGTAGAGGTTGCATAATGGAGTGGATAAGAGCACTAATTCTCAAGCCAGGTGGCCTGCATGACCTTGAGCCAGTTACCTAACTTCTCTGTGCCCCAGTTTCCCTATCCGTAAAATAAGGACAGTAACAGTACCTGACTTTTAGGGTTGCTGTTGTGAGGATGGAATGAGATAATGCATGCAGTTTGGTAACAACAGTGTATCAAAAACAGTAAGTCACAAGAATGTATGCTTAGTAAAATTGTACTCAGCTCTCCTTCAAGACCTAGGCCCTTGATGCTATCTTCTCTTTGTCTTTTACAAGACCTAGTGCAGTGTCCTGCATGCAATAGGTGTGGCAAAATGCCAAGAAATCTGTCTCCTTTATTTAGTTAGTCTCATCAACAAATGTCCATTTCTCATGGTTATTATGCCACCTCTTGTTGCCATTAAGAACTCTCATGAACACATATTTTGTTTATGCTGTATCTAGATACCTGTCAGCACGTCCAAGGCACACTGCCTTACTATGTACTGTCGCTAGGTTTTGTTTTGTTTTGTTTTCTATCTTTATCTGTTCTCATTCACAACTCATTAGCCCTGGAATCCAAAGCCAGTTAACTAATTACTCAAGGTCTCTATTCATTTGTCTGTAGGGTGGAAATGAGATCTGTTCCATAAGTTATTTAAGGAACAGTTAGCACAGGCCCTGCAAGTAGTAACCCTCGATGAATTTCATTGCCTTCCTTTCTGTAAGGTTCAATTCTGATCCCTGCATTGATGACTCCTAAATCCACTTCCCCTGGAGATAGCATCAACAGATGTCTGCTGTGGAGTTGGACTTTTAGTGTGAAGATGAAGGGAAAATCTCCGAAAAGTTTGACATGAGAAAATATGTACGGTTGAAATATAAGTGAGGTAGGTGCGGGGAAGATGGGAGGTAGGGGGCGCCATTTACATTGTATGCTATGGGATGATGCCTGCTGGGGTTGCACAATATATCCTGTCCTCATCGGTGGGCCAGATGTTAGGAGATAGGGAGACCAGGAAGGAAGCTACCGTGACACTCTAGGCAAGAAATGATGACTGCTTGGAGATGGGGGATAGGAGACTTTATTGATTACTAACATTAATACTAGGAAATACTTACATGGAACCTGCTACAATGCTGGTATTGTGCTTAGAGATTTACATGTATTAGTAAGACTCACAACAACCCTAAGAGGTAGAAACCTTATTTCCTACATTTAATAGATATAAAATCTGAGGTCCAGAGAGGTTAAATAACTCCGCAAGGTCACATGAGTAATTTCTTTCTAAGCTGGGCTTTGAGTTCAGGCTGTCTTACTCCAGAGTCTGTGCTCAAACCACTGAGCTGGACTACTGAAAGGAAGTACAAATAGCAGGACTTGGCTATCAGTCAGATGTGGTGGGTAAAAGAGAGCAAGAGAAGGCTAAAATGACTCTTAGGTGGTGTCGCTCCTTCAGATAATAATGGGTAGGCAGGGCTGATGGGAATTTAGTTTTGGACACACTCATTGTGAGATGCTAGTGGGCACTGAGTTCAGGGAATGTGTGGGGCTGGAGACAGAAATGCAAGTGCCGGTGGGGTCTGGTTATGGGGTAGAGCTTTGAAAACGAATTAGACCTTGCAAGAGCATATGTGGTGTGAAAAGAGAAGCCGGGACCAAAGCCTAAGGAATTTCAGCAGTTCTGGAGCAAGTGGAGCAAGAACTCTGAGAAGGATCTCCCTAGGAGTAGGGAAAGACCAAGAAGAGAGCCCTGGGGATTGATGAGGCAGATACCACATAGGCAGGAACACCTACTCAGGCAGGTCTATGAAGAACTCAGGGTTGTCCATAAAGAAAGGGCAGAAGTGTACAATGACTAGCAAGGCCCAGTGTCTCACAACTATAATCCCAGCACTGTGGGAGGCTAAGGCAGGAGGATCGCTTGAGCCCAGGAGATCAAGGCAGCACTCAGCTATGATCACACCACTGAACTCTAACCTGGGTGATGGAGCAAGATCCTGTCTCTCTAAAAAGGGAAGCACAGGGGTGGCAGGGGAAAATAGAAATGTATAACGGATTTAATGGTTGGGAAACCATTAGAAACTTATAGAAACAATGCTTATGGGCCGAGAGTAGTGAATCTCTCCTGTAATGTAGCACTTTAGGAGACTGAGGCGGGCAGGTCACCTAAGGTCAGGAGTTCAAGACCAGTCAGGCCAACATGGCAAAACCCTGCTCTACTAAAAGCACAAAAATTAGCTGGGCATGGTAGCACAGGCCTGTAATCCCAGCTACTCAGGAGGCTGAGTCAGGGGAATTGCTTGAACCTAGGAGGCAGAAGTTGCAGTGAACCAAGATCACGCTGCTGCACTCCAGCCTGGACAACAGAGCATGAAACTGTCTCAAAAAAAAAAAAAGAAAGAAAGAAAGAAAGAAAAAACAATGTTTTTGGTGTGGTACAGCAGTGGCCATCATCATGGCAGACAGTGTCTGATGGCCATGTATGTGTTCTCTTTCTGAGACTTTGCTTGTATGGAAGTAGAGACCTAGAGAGAGGCTAGCACAGTTGTATTGCCCAGGGAAAGGGGATGCAGGGCAGGGAGAACCTTGAGTTTCTTATATGGTGTAGCCAACAGAGTCTGAAGTGGACCCCTTATGATTACTTTTTTTGCAGTTTGCAGCCTGTACTTTCCCTGAGTTTGAGCTGAACCTGTGGCTTGCTGCTAACCAATAAAATACGGCAAAACTGATGGGATGTCCCTTCGATGACTACATTATGTAGTATAAGACTCTGTCTTGCTAGCTGACCCACTCTAGAGGCTCTATCTTCCTAGCTGGCTATGAAGAGGAAAGTAGTCA